CACTTCTCAGCAGCAAGCGGACCAGCCAGGAACACACCCAGCCCTGAAGCATCCTTTCAGTTGAACACCACTGCTTTAACGGCCTCTATTAGACCTCAACAACGATCAATGTCTGACACTGCAGGACCCAGCCAAAACAGTCATGTTGGAGTCCCTTCAGTTCCTAGGGTGCGCCTTATATTTTGTGTGTTTTTTTCTTTAAACATCTCAATTCTGTGACAGACGAAAAATACAAAACAACAAATCGAGCTCCGAGGCGATGAACACAGCGCAACCCGTTTAGTTTGGAAATCGATTCGTGTCTCTGCATTTGACAGCTGAGCCCTCGTTTTTTTTTTAAATGGTTCAATACACTGCACTCTTCATGCCTTGCTTGCTTTTTTTTTGTGGTTGTTTTGTAGACACTGCTGTGGCATTCCGCTCGTTTATATGGGCTCGGTTTTCTGAACGCCTTCTCGCACAAGCCTAATCCATTCCAGCTGGGGGTGTGGCGTGCCAGGTTCACCAAGTAACAGTGTTTTCACAAAAAGACTTGTGCCGGAGGGGGAGAAGTTCAGACTATCCAATTTATTTAGCCTGGGCCAGATTCAATGATGAGACTGATGTGTTAGCCTTTTGCACCACCCAGCATCCCACCCTCCATAACTGTTGTTTGTTTTTGTTTTTTTTAAGTATGGGAATAAGAAAAGGCCCCTTTCAGCAAAAGGCTGCTGGGTAGTAGTGAATGATCCATAAATTAAATTGAATTGAACTCGGTTGTGCAGTAATTCTAGGCTCACAAGCCTGGGCTTATTTAAATTCCACAGTTGTCCATTTGATCAGCTTCTGATCTCTCAAAATCCAAGCTTTCTTTGAATGAAGTGATGAGAAAGTACCTCGTGGTAGACTGGGAATGTGATTTTTTTTTCTTCTGCATTTACGTGGAGGGCACATTTGAGATTTGAGAAGCCCAAGTGTGCCTTTTCACGCTGTTTATCCAAATCTATAATGTCCTAAGAAAGCCTTGTTTACATGAGCTCATCAGCAGGTGACAATGCCAGAATCCGATACAGTATATGAATCTCAGAAGCGCACATAGTTGTCGAAGTCATGTATGACTTCTCAGGACATGTCGCATTTGTCCACTTTTGTCTTCCATTTGTCCGCATCTGAGACCAATTTGTCTTGGTTAATGCAGCATTCGTATGAAACCTGAAGAAGGCTCCATGGCCGAAACGTTGTGTTTTCTTTCTTCTTTTTTCCCAGCATGGAATAAACCTATTACTTGTTCCTTTGCAGCATTCGCATGCTGACGCAGCTCCCCACCTGAACTAATTCATATAAAACTGCGTGAAGAAGAATACAGGGTGTGTGTTGGGGGGCTTAATAGTCTTTGTAGTAAGTGTCTTCTTTGGAGTCTTCCTTGAATCAATTAATCAATGAAACAAGTTAAGCAGAGAAGAACAAATGGCCATGTGGTGTGCATGGTTTACAGTGAATTGAGATTTATTGTGACATTCGGGTATGTATAGCTGTATTAGCCGGCCATTCATACAGCGGGACTTGATGGAGTCATTGATCTATGTAGTAATGAGGACAGAGCTTGCGCTCAGTTGAGCCCAAATTCTAACACGTTGCTGAGTATGAATAATTTAACACTCACAGCATGTAATCGTCCTTTGAAGTTCTTCTTTGAAGCCACAAAAACAAGTTATATTTGCACAGTACTTTAATGTTTATCTGTAATGACTAGAGCTCTTAGGGCACTCAAGTTAGAAGAAGCATTAAGGATAGTTTGGTCGTATTTGTCTTTAGTTTATTAGCATGGCAAGACAATTCTTCCGTGTGAACTAAATTGTGTTGGCAAATCTTCTTCACAGAAATAATCGTGTAACAGTTGATTAAATCTATAGCTATTACCTTAGTTTTTGAGGTTGTTTTTACACTGTGGTAGCTCTGTTAGTGGTAGTTTTCAAAGGAAACTCGTAAATCCATCTGCAACAGCAGTAACATCAAAAAAATCAGCACGGTTTTCCCAAATGGTGAATTGAAAACATGAAATGGGTTATTTCTTTGGTTCAAAGTGAACCAATCTGCTTTAAAGGGCTGTTTATATTTGTTACCACCATATTTCTGAAACCTCAGTGCATGGAGAATATTTTGCCAATTTCCATTTAAATTGATTGTTAAATTGATTGCCTTTTTCCATATTTAAAGCTGTCACGAATGGTTTCCAAAACAGGTTTACCAGTTTTACAATTCACATTTCAGGGCATAGACATAATTGTGTGTATTAAATTTATTTGGTGATGGATTAAAAAAAAATATTGTGCAGATTAAATAAAACCTCAATTCACCTGCCAATTTTAAATTATAAATCATTATATATGTTGCAGCTTTTTGTTTGCTAGAAATCTACCCAATGGAATTGCAATGTTTCACACATTAAATATCAATCTTTCCAATCTCATAAACGGTTTGAATGACAATTCATTTTGGTAACATTTTAGAGAAAGACCATTACAAGATTAAAAAGTACAAGGATTCCATCAGTTGATGTCAAAAGAATGTATCATGTTAAAAATGCAGTTCAGTGGTATTTGAAAATAAAATATTTATATTGGAATAAATAAAACAAAGCACTCCATCCTATTACTTTCTGTTTAATAGACAGTATTGACAGTGAAAAAGACAGCATTATTGAATGAATACAATTGAACAAAACATTAAATTAAGTTAAATTTATATATATATTCTGACTTTGCTTCATCATGTAATCCAGACTTGTGTCTTGCTTCATGTGTTATTTTTTCTAACACTTTTTTCAATTGTGTAATAGAACTGATCGACTTAACGAGTTCACATCATCATTCTTTCAATAGGGTTTCTTTTCAATGTACATCTGAAAGACAAGCTAGGTGCTTAAACAGGATGTATTGTATATTTCCTTCCCAGGCTTTTTATTTAAATAAAAAAGTCCAGTTCCTGAAGGTGACTGCAACGTTTCCAAGCGCTGTATTGTTTCTGCGATTTAGTTTCCCAGTGGGCTCGCTCACCTTTGATAAAGACAAGCAGACAGCAGCGGAGGAGCAGGGAATGAAATTATAGGGACAGTATCAAGACCGATAATCTTCTGGAAGAGCGATGCATCAGACAGCGGAGGGCTGTTAAAAAAAACAATTACCGATGTAACGACGCACGACCCCTTCAAACTTCCTGCAGGTGTACAGCGGTTCGGCACGGTGAACATTTGTAAACGTGTTCCCACTTCGTCTGCCACGTATCTCCACAGGCTGGCAGTAAATACTGCAGTTGAGCTATTTTAAGTCACAGCAGTGAAGTGTTGCTCGACTTTGTTAGGCGGTGAAGTAAAGGAGCAGAACGCCTGGAGCAGGTTTCTTCTGAAATGGTGTTTAACAGACAATTTCTTATGCAAAACTTAATTTTTATGGTTTTCAAGTAACCTTCTATTATTATTATTATGATTATTATTATTTAGTTGCCTGTGATTACCATGTGCATCTGTTTTTCTAAATCCCAAAATTAAAATCTTTTCTTATTCTTTCACTAATCCTAGAACCCTCACTATTATTATTATTATTATTATTATTATTATTATTATAAGTTGTTGTTGTTGTTGTTATAGTTGTTGCTGCTACCATGTGTGGTCTTTTCTTTCCTTTTTGTACTGTTCATAGTTGTTTTTGATATTACAAAGTTAGTCATGTTTTGCTATTCATAATTATAGGATTACTGGTATGTATTTTGTTAATGCTAATCTGCATTTAAATATTGTATGAAATTGATATTCATTTAAAACATTAGTTTTTATAAACAGTACTTAAAAGTAAAATTATAAGATATTATTATTATTATTATTATTATTATAAAAAGAAATACCCACAGTACATTTGTTACTTTTAAAAGTAACTGAAGATTGAGTTACAAATTCACTGATGTTGTAAGAATTGTTTTATAATATGCACAAAATAGTACAGCTCATAAAAATTGTGTACCGAAAGCTGCACTTAATGTATTTGATATATATATATATTTCTATTGTTTGTCATATTTTGTAATGCAGATAGTATAGCATCTAATTTTTTTGTGGGAAAGTCAAATTAATTGTAAAAAGAAAATGTATAATCCAGTGTGTACATTACTCTTTAAGAACTGCTGATTTCCTTAAAAGGGATCTGTAGAATAAGAGATTGTGCAACATGTTCCTAAAATTAACTTAATTAATTTTTTTAATATCTTCCTTGCTTTTGTTTAAATACATTTAAAAGAAAAAAAATAATTTGGATGATCAAAACCTGTGGCACAGATAATAGGTTCTGTGATGCATTTCTGCTCATGTTAATGTTTTTAAACATTTTTAAAGAAACATGCTTTTTTAAAGCTGTAAAAAGACTGTTTAGGAAAACATTTGGGTGTGTATTGAGCCTTCTCTCTCTCTGCCAAGATGTTTATCATGCAGTGTGTCGCTTTTTACCATTGCAAGAACATGTTATTCTTAGTTTTTTAATACTCTAATTAATGATTCTAAAAATATCCAATTGTTTTTGTGTTGTGCTCATTTGTAAACAGCCCCCTTTTGTAATGGACTTATCAGATCGGGAGAGTAATGAAAGCGTCACTGCAATCCATATTAATACAGTAAAATTTCACAAACAAGCCCACATTCTGCTTCGGCTTTTCCTTTATCCCACACAATTTCTCTTTTCAAGGTACGCTGTTCCAGCAGTGCAATTAATTAGGGTTATTAAAAATACCAATTAGGTAAGCCGACATGATATTTAACTCAGACAATTTAATCAGGGAATGTGTACTTTCTTTGATCAGATTTGTATTAAGTTCAAACCGCGAGGAAAAAGGCAAGACCGGAAAGCCGGATTCATTACCTCGGATGCGCACGGATCTGTGGAGGTTTTTTTTTCTCTCTATTGGCATGTCCTCACAAGGTCCTGGGAAAAGCTCATGCGGTGTTTTTTTTCCCCCTCTCTCCTCCCTCCCTGCAGGAATCCTGTACAAGGGCAATGGAGAGAACCAGTTCATCTCCCTGCAGCCCCCCGTGGTCGGCACCATCATGGGCAACGGCCGGCGCCGGAGCATCTCCTGCCCCAGCTGCAACGGCCAGGCCGACGGGAACAAGCTCCTGGCCCCGGTCGCGCTGGCCTGCGGCATCGACGGCAGCCTCTACGTCGGCGACTTCAATTACGTGCGACGCATCTTTCCCTCCGGCAACGTCACGAGCGTCATGGAGCTGAGGTAGGTCCGGGGCCTGGCGGGAGAGGCGGAGTCCGTCTGCTTGTCCGCGTGCCGAGACGACCGGAAAAACAGTGTCAGTAGAGAGAACGTAAAACATCCAGTGGAGCTACTGCAGTCGACGCAACATACGTAACAGCAGCATACAATACAGTACAGTGCCAAATACATAAGATTCGGATGTATCGTATATATGCTGCCAATACGGTGCTCTGAAGGGGCTCATACAGCAAAGTTTAAAAAAGTCATAGCACTCGGACGGAGGGACTTCTTAAAAAAACGTTTTTTGTGGCCTTCCGGCACTCTAGAACTTCCAACCAGATGGTAAATTTTTCAAATTGCGAGTGTAGCGGGTGTAAAGCATCATTTACTATTAAAGATTGCTTTAGTATGCACGCGGTCCGGCTGGTTCTGTTTCTGAACAATAATTGTCCTGCCCGTGTTTATAATCCTCGAGAGCTTGGAACTAGCCCTGACACCAAGGGTCCCATACCAAGTGGAGACGTTAAAGGAGAGCACATTCTGTGTCACATCTCAAGGGGCTTGAACAGTTAATCTGTGGTGTGGGAGGGGTTGGGGGTGTCTCCAGTGGCTTGTGCAATTGGTTTCCTTTCTTCCGAGACTTTTTAAATGCCCGTGGTACAGTAAGGACTGTCCTGTCAGGATCCGTGCTAAGGTTTTGGGGTAATGCTTTTCTTCAACGAGGCTCATAAACACCTTCACGACCCCATCATAAACATGATAAAACAACAGGCATAAAAACTGTATCGCAAAATATTTGACATAAGCATACCAAGACTGCTGTAACTAATGTATATCTGCAGCAAGTTCTTGTCAGCTCTCAAGTCCTTAATGGTGTCTTCCATCATTTTCACTTTGCTTCTCTCTATCTCAGCTTTCTGCTGAAGCTATGTCTCATTATGAAGCATGCCGAATAATCATGTACTTGTAATGTCATATGCACAAATAGTTGTGAGGGATTAGGCAACTTCTTATATCGTGTTGTGAAGTGTTTCTGAAAGATTTATGACTTTTGTTTTTCTTAGCTTCATTCAAATAAAGCATTACCAGATTTTAATGTCACAATAGACTCTTTTCTCGTACCTCTGCCTTCTGAGTATGCTCTGGCTTGGGCTTTTGTGTGCACAAAATGCTTACGAGTAAACAAATAGCCAAGCTATTTGCTGTTTGGAGCAGTGTCCTCAATTTCTTTCCTCCTCCCCTTCCTTTCCTGCTCTAATGTGTGGGATTAAACCAGAAGTGTCACTTGAGGTTTCAAGAAATTCTTTTGGGCTGCAAGTCATCTTTATCATGTGTAACTTAATACAAACCATGAAAGGGAACAAGCCATCTTTGTATTTTTGCTTTAACTGGTCTATCTCCAAGGAATGTCAACCTCTAGCCAGTTTCCCTGCAGGTAATAGAGTTTTCTGTATATTTTTTCTCCAAGATATATGTTTACATTTTAGAAGGAGGAAAGAAATTGGTGGAGCATAAACATTTTCATAAGAGTCACCTTTGCATCATTTCAATGTAAAAAGCTTTATTACATGCAGAAGTGGAATTAAGCTCTTCCACTAAAACAGTCCAAACTACCAATAAGAAGACATTTGAAATTTGCAGTGTCTCAGTCACTGGCTCTGACCATCATCAGGGATGGTTGTATTCAAAATCACTGGACAGCTGAGCCAATTTAAAAGCAGAACAGTCAGGGTTCAGTCATCTGACACCACCTTTCATGTGTTTTCAATCTTTCAATTCTCAAAACAGCCCTCGAGAGTTCAGGTGGGGGCATCCCGATCTGTTCATTAATCAAGGAAGCCTTGAAGTAGCACATGTTTCTTTCTGCTGTGCTTGTTCTTGTTTTATGTTTCTTTGTAAGAGCGTGACATTTTTATATCCAGCTGGGCACAATGAAATCTGTGTTACGACCGCGGTGCTAGTAGTGTTTCATGTTCTTTTATCCTTTGACGTGAAACATGTGTGTGCGTGTGGAGTATATACTGTAAGCATACACAGGTAGGTTTAGAAACACTGAAAGTTAACAGCAGAGAGCGTTTCTCTTGCGGCTCCTTGCAGTCTGTGTTGAATGCGCTCAAACAGCCAAGTCACAGTGGTTCAGACGTTCCTTTTCTTTCTTATTTTTGCTCTGTATTTTGCTGAGGAAATGCGTCAGTAAGCCGAGCAGAAGTCTGTCATTCAGCTAGTGACACTAGAGAATATTTCCAGTCTATTTTTATTTTTTAAATATCAGTCTTTTTAGTGATCTCTAAAATAAACAACAGGGCAATACTTCATTTTATTCAGCATAGATTTTAGATATGCAGTGAGATGTTTGTTTACGTTCTTGTCAACCTTTATGAATTATGCCTTTTTTAAAACCCCACAAAGATAAATTTCAGCCTTTGGTCACCAGCAGACATTTGCATGAATTATATTTAATTAGTGTCAAATTCTGTGCTGTAGGATAAATCCAGTGACATTCTGCTCCAAACCATAACATCTTATTTGCTCAGCTGAAATACACCCTCCATTCATGTTTCTTGCAAATATATAGCTAGTCACAAATGTTTTAATCGCTTAATTCCATTGTTTTTTTAGTTGAATTGATGCCTCCTATCATCAAAGGCTATATGTTACATGCAAAAATTGCAAACCTTTCTACAAAAAAATAAACAAAACATCCTTTTCAGCTTTCCTTAGATTTTCTATGCCACAAGCATGTTAGAAAAAGCATTTTAAAGTGTGCTTTTTATTGTATGTGACACAATCAATAACCCATTATAAGCTAGTTAACCTAAGTATGGTCCATGATCTAATATATTAGTGAACTCCCGGGTGTAAAATTTGTTCCTTCCCATTGATATAAAAGTATTGCTGAAATAATTTCTACCCAGTATCATTGCAAAGACAGTTTGTGCTGTCGGCCCCCAGCCTGCCAGTCTTTTTTGCTAGAGAATCTCTCTGCTTTTCACTTTGTTTCTAGAAATAAAAAACAGAGATTGGATCGGCAAGATCTAATGGTGTTGTACTTTCTAACGGATGGACATTTTCTCTCAATAAAGATAATTTCATTCTTGTTTGTCAAGTGAATCTGCAAGATCTCTTACTTTTCTGTGTGTCCTTTCCTTTTTTCTCTAATTCATGCTTTTTATTCTCCTTTGATCTGCTTCCGTTCGTCTAAGAAATAAAGATTTCAGACATAGGTAAGCCTGAGAAAATATATAAAATATTGTAAGTGTTGTATTGTCTGTGTGCACATGTTCCCCAACAGCTAATTTTACATTGATTCATATACATTTGGCTCATCCTTGCATTACAAAATGTGCACTTCTAATTGTTCATTTTTTTGTATATGGCTTTTGCGTTGCTTCTGCTCTTCTGGAAATGTTGCTGTTGTTGTGTTGGGCTATTTCTATGCAGCATTTACACAGCATCCTAAATTAAGACATTCTGACTCAAAACAAAAAAGGGCTTTGTTTCTGAACATTGAATAGATTGCTAAAAGGAGTAAAGTGCTTCCCCGTCTAACAACTAAGAATGTGGTATGTTTCAGTTCCATGAATAAGTATCACATCTGCCCAAGAAGTCACAATCTAGCAGTTTTGTAACGCTAGCTGATACAGACAGGGATATTCAGTAAATGAAAGATGGAGACCAGCTCTCAGTTTTGATTGGCATGGAGATAAACAGAAGGGATTCTTTGAACGCAAGCAGGCGTCAGGCACTTTACTATCAGACACTGGAGTTATTTAAGTAAGGAAAAAAGGGCACCGCTGTGACTTACCTCAGGCAAAAGCTGTGGAATTTCACGATCTACTGATAGGATATTGTGATCTGGATTGTCACTCTTAAGAACTGCTCCAGTCTGTTACTGTACATCTATCTGTAGTCTGGAGTTCAAGAAATCTAGCTGAAAAATAGGGAGTCTCGATGACAATATACAATTGTGATGTGCGCAAGATTGCAAGAAGTGTGATTAATTAACTTAATTTGCTTGTACAGCTTCTGTTATTCTCATGTAAAATACTTTATTTAAGCAAACATGCAGTGGGAACATGCCTTTTAAAGTATAAGCCTAGAGTTACGAAAGTGTTAATAGAATATGTCCCGGCTTTTTTTATTTTTGTGAAACCCGTTTTTTTCTGTATTATTAATCTTACGAGAATCCAGCTCATTTGTACCGCAGACATCTAGGTACTTAATAGTTTATGCAGTTCAGAGTCTTAACTATTCATTTTAACACATTCCCAGACAACTTGTTCCATTTGAAAGTGTCATAAAGACGACCACTATTGACTGATACTCTGCAGAGCCTCATAAAAACATTAGCAACTATCGACCTCATCCTCATCTAATGAAGCTCTTTTTTATGACTGCATAACAGAGCATCTTATGATCAGCATTGTAAATTATTTATCACAGATGTTTGTTTTATACATTCCCTTTCTTTGAGTCTTCCCTAAGTTATTTATTTGTTGATTTATATTATTTGTTTTTCTTAATTTCCAATCATTATGCCAACAGCTAGATCAAGCAGTTATTTAACATGCAAAAAGTGGGCAAAACTTTAAAATGGCTTTTTTGTGTTTTGGTTTTTGCCTGGAGCAGCTCCTCTCTTTATTAAAATGAATCTCAGATTGGATTAATTTTCTATTTCAAATTCATGTTACAGTCCAAGTTGTCCTCACTCAGGAGAGATGCTGTTGTGGCTGTATAGCTGGAAAATAAAGACTTGAGTAAACTGTTGTTTGTTTATCATGAATTTGTATTAGAATGCTTGTGACTAAAAGCCCTTCTCACTAACTGTTTGTGAAATAGCTTTTCAGGATTTTAAGCAGGTTTAATAGATGCAAATGAACATGGCCTGACAAATGCAGCATTAGTTGCTGATTTTCATTATAATATGAATATCACTGCATTATTTTCCATAGGCAAACAAGCAGTGAGAAGTGATAATGGTTGAAATGATCTGACAATGTGAAGGCGTCATTAATGCCTTGTCACTTGATAGTGATTTCCAGTCATATCCTATTACGTTCACTTGGTCACAGAGCCTTTTTTTCCTGTCAAGTGTTAGAATTCCTTCCTTGTCTGTTGAGGAGGTAGACATTTAATGGCTTTCTGTTAGACACCAAAGTCAAATTCATTGTCATCACTGTTATCTCCTAGTCTGGTCCGGTCTAGAAAAACTCGACACATGCCAGTACACCCACTCCCGCTGCCCGCGCGCAACCCGCTCGGACGTGTCGGGCGGCCGCCCGCTCGTGTTGAAGGCCACTCACGTCCCCTGTCCTGTTCCTCAGCAACAACCCGGCCCACAGATACTACCTGGCCACCGACCCTGTCACCGGACAGCTGTACGTGTCCGACACCAACTCGCGCAGGATCTACCGGCCGAAGCTGCTCACGGGGGCGAGGGACCTGCTGCTGAACGCCGAAGTGGTGGCGGGGACGGGCGAGCAGTGCCTGCCCTTCGACGAGGCCAGATGTGGCGACGGGGGGAAGGCGACCGAAGCCTTGCTCATGGGTCCTAAAGGTACGGTCTCCCGCTCCACTGCGCCCAAGCGTTTGAAACCAGGCTCCTCTTGCCCAATTCGTGCTGATGCTTAGGCACCGTTTTTTACCTTTGCATTTTTGTTTCAAAATAACCATAGGTTATTTAAGGAAATAAAAGCTTTATTCCACTCATCGGAAGTTTCATTTCACACCTCTCTGCACCCATTCTGACTTCACACCTCTTGATTGGCCTCTCTTTCTGTCCCATGCTCCTGCCTCTCACTCCTCCTCCCTCCCAACCTTTGTTCTCCCACTACATTACCTTTGCCTACTGCCCTGTCTCTCTCACACCTGAAGAAGGCTCCACGGCCGAAACGTTGTGTTCTCTTTCTTCTTTTTTTCAGCATGGAATAAACCTATTACTTGTTCCTTTGCATTATTATTATTATTAGTCTTGGAACAGTGAAGGCTGAGAGGAAACCCAATATGAGTGTTCAAAATCTGTAAAGTCCCGGACAGAGCCAGTCCCGCCGGTGTTGTTCAAATTGATCGATGGGACACGAGGAGGAGGGCTCAAGGAGGCGGTGCATTTAAAACAGGAGGCACTTCCCTATCGGGTGTGGGAGTTGGGAACAAGCTACGCAGCCATATTGTTGAATCCCATTCTGTGGCTTCTTCCCAGAAACGTTTGTTCAGTTCAGTTTGTCGTCATATGACCAAGTGCTTATTTGCATGCGTGCTCCAATATAAAGACATTAAAGGAATCGCCAAAAACATAAACACAGAACAGCAGCAGCAAGTTAAATAACATACTGTACTTAACAAAAAAAGAGATACTGTAGAAGATTGAAGAGATACCTGGATCAGTTGGCTAATAGCTAATTAAACAGCCAAACAGGCTAGGAGGTCCTAACGACCTCCTCATGTTTGTAATCTTTCTTATGATTTTTAACCATAAAGAAGTGACTGTTTCTGAATTGGACTGGATATGTCAGCACAGTGCAGAGAGTGCCTTTTGCACAGTGTAGTCGTAAATAGTACCGTATATCATTGTCGTTGTTGTTCTGTGGTCCAAACAGTTTTAGATCCATTAGGTCTCGCTGGTTTAAACATGATTTTAGCACATTGCATTTTTTATATATTGTTCTGTCATAATGCTGAACAGAAAAATATAAGATTTATTTTTCTTTAAACCGCAAAATATGGGCATGGAGAATTTCTGTAACATATTCTGCACCTCAGTAAGTTGCGGTGAAGTAAGATATCAATGTCAACCCAAAAGTAAAAACGTGTGTGTTCAAGCATAAAAACCGTCATCACTTTGATAAACGCCAACACACTGTTGATAGAATATATTGAAATAATAGGTGGTTGAAGTCTTTTTTTCCACATCTTCAGTGGACATTACAGACCTCTCAACTGTCCAGCTACACAAGATTATATACAACCCCACAACCAAAAATTCATCTTCATACACCTTTCACCTTCTACTAACCTAGAGGCAAGCTGCTTGGACAAACATGATTTGTCACATTTTGCCTAAGCAGCTGTCTGCTGGTCCAAAGTTCTCTCTTTAATATTATATGTATTATGTTGTTTAACTCCAGTCTACGTTTTAAAGATATTCTCCAAGCTTAAAAAAAAAACCCCAACAAATACTGTATTTTTTAAATAAAAAAAAAGATTTATGACAGCCTGGAGAGTCAGGTCTTAATCCATATTCCTCTGAGCACTACCTCCATGTACCAAAAAATCTGAAGGAAGCAGATTTTCTTGTCTCAGTTGGGGAACAAGAAACCTTTAGCCTCCACTCTATCAGTTTGGCATTTTAGCAGGATGGTGTAGTCATGGCAACAGGCTGTCTTTCATCTGTTTAATCTAAAAATGGTCAAAGCTGCAATTTCACCCTTCCTACAGGTAGGGAAAGTCGGGGTTTTTTTTTTTTTAAATTGTATTTTAACTAGTCTCTCTTCAATAAAATAGATCTTCTGAAGTTTTTTTTTTTTCCAGGACTTGGAATACACACACTCACGCACACATAATAAACTGTGACTATGGCTGTTCTTCTTCTTGCCCGAGAAGTAATTTGATACTAGAAAGCGGAGTATGAATTATTAATAACTTGCCTTTTTTTTCCCAGTGACCTGAATACTGTTAAGCCAAACCCAACACATGTAGCAATCATGCTCTGCTTAGCAAGTCATGCAGAGGGTTTTAAATGGAGTCCTCGACGTCCTTTCTTTTCTCCCTTCAGGTATTGCTGTCGACAAGAATGGGTTCATATACTTTGTTGATGGGACGATGATCCGTAAGGTCGATCAGAATGGCATCATCTCCACACTCCTTGGGTCAAATGACCTCACCTCAGCCCGCCCCCTGACCTGTGACACCAGCATGCACATTAGTCAGGTGATTCTTGCGCTTCTTATTTATAATGTGCCAGACGGTAACAGTTTTTGCCAGTGACACTGGTGCTCTGAAGGCCAACCTGAATGATTACAGCACCACCTTGTGGTAACTCGTCCACAGTTGGCATTTAACCCTGTGCCCCATGGCTGATCATGCAGAATGCTCTCCTGTATTCTTGTTTTGTATTCATACACTGCTGATAAAAGATGAATATACTGTTGCCCACATTAACACAGAATAAGTGCCAATCAGCCTTCCTTTTCTGTTGGGGTTCTTGCCTCAATTACAGTTAGTTGAATCTAGGGTAAAGTAAGTCTTAACATAAGCGATTGATTTTAATTCAGTGCTCTATTTGGCATTGTGACAAAAAAAAAATCCAAATTCCTTTGGTTGGCCAATTTGTGCTAATGTCAGTCCACTACCTTCCCTTTTGCTTGGAAGCTAAACAACTTAGCCAAAGCTCAGAGTCTCCTACTGCTACAACTGAACTCCCAGGGATTTGTTTTTTTTTAGTTCGCTCTTACAAACATAGATCACGACCACACCACAGCCCTGTCTCTCTCTCTCTCTCTCTCTCTCTCTCTCTCTCTCTCTCATTTGGCCTTTTCCATTGTGCTTCCTCAGCTCTCTCACCAGTACAAAAAGGCATATCCCCCTTGGAGGAGCTAAGTTATTCATAAGTCATTATTCCTGGGTGGGGAGAGAACTACAGTGTGTGTCAGGGTATATTTTGATCCAATGGAGCAAAAACAAACAAAGACCGCACTTGTCACCAATTTAATTACCACTGAGACCAGAATTCAAACCCCCAATACCCCTGGGACCACATGGCTAAAGTCCACAGAGCACTGGGCTCTAGTGCATCAATATTAAAAAAAAATCATACACTTTATTGACTTGCCTGAATGATTTGTAACGCAGCCTCCTCTGATTCTGTAACACTCTCCTGTAAACCTGTAGCAGTAGAGATTCGAATTGTAAAACTCTCAAAAGCTAGCTAGCTGGTCAAAAACAAGATCAAACTGGATTTTTCTTTTATCACTGATAAGTTAGGAATTTTCTGTGGTTTACATTTTAAGCTTCTGAAGAGTCATCATGTCACAGTGAAACTGGAATGTATATGTACTGTATGTCCTACACATGTGTACTGTATGTGTCTCTTACTCATGTATGAAGTGCAATTACAGTATAAAGGGTACGATTTTACAGCTCTTAATTAACTAACCATGGCCTATCCATTATTTTATTTTCCCCTCGCAGAAATGTTTGACCTACCAGGTCAAAGCTAAAAATGTTTCCTTGAGAAGCCAGAATTAAAGCTTCATTTCTTGGGTAGAGTCAAAGTGTGTAGGGAGGGGATTTGTCACAGTGTTATCAGTACCTTTGTGGAGGCACAAAAATTGTCAGATGAACAAAAAAAAACAGGATTATAAGAAGCTTAACTCCATACAGCTAATTCATGGACAGACCCAGCTACTGCAAGTCAAAGAGGAAACATCAAGCAGGCAAATCAAATCAGAACACGCAACACAAAAGCACAAAGTGTATTTAATCCCTGGGAGTAAAATAGTCCTGTACATCACTGTCAGGCTACGACATTGCTCTCCAGAAGCATGAATACCTCTTGATTTATAATGTGCGTTGCTTACTTTTTTTTTTTTTGTTTGTTTTTTTCTGTGTTTTGTTAAGGTTCGCTTGGAGTGGCCTACGGACCTGGCCATCAACCCCATGGATAACTCCATTTACGTTCTGGACAACAACGTCGTGCTCCAGATCACAGAGAACCGCCAGGTGCGGATTGCGGCCGGCCGGCCGATGCACTGCCAGGTCCCAGGGATGGAGTACGCCATGGGCAAGCGGGCCGTTCAGACCACCCTGGAGTCCGCCAGCGCCATCGCGGTGTCGTACAGCGGCGTGCTCTACATAGCCGAGACGGACGAGAAGAAGATCAACCGCATTAGGCAGGTGACGACCGACGGCGAGATCTCGCTCCTGGCGGGCTCCCCGTCGGACTGCGACTGCAAGGACGATGCCAACTGCGACTGCTATCTGACCGGGGACGGGTACGCCAAAGACGCCAAGCTGAACGCGCCTTCGTCCCTCGTGGTGTCGCCCGACGGCACGTTATACATAGCCGACCTGGGGAACATTAGGATCCGGGCTGTCTTCAAGAATAAGCCGCTGTTAAATCTGCTGAACTACTACGAGGTGGCCTCTCCTGCAGACCAAGAGCTGTACGTCTTCGACATCAACGGCACTCACCAGTACACCATGAGCCTGATTACTGGGGACTACAAGTATAACTTCAGCTACAGTAACGACAATGATATCACCGCCGTCACAGACAGTAACGGGAACACCCTCCGTATCAGGAGAGACACGAACCGCATACCGGTCAGGGTGGTCTCTCCAGACAAGCAGGTCATACAGCTCACTATTGGGACCAACGGAGGACTGAAGTCTCTCACTGCCCAGGGCCAGGATCTGGTTCTCTTCACCTATCATGGCAGCAGTGGCCTTTTGGCAACAAAGAGCATCGAGATTGGATGGACCACTTTTTTCGAGTGAGTATGAATCATTAGCCGGGTGACAGCAGCTGACAGCTTCCAGTGCGAGTTCAAGTTCTGTTTCTTTTCAGGCAAGCAAGTTGGTGGTGGAAGCACAGCAGGCAGCGTGTGCAATTTATTTCACGCTAATGTCTCATTCTGTTGTCAGAAATGTCACCGTTGTCTGAAATGTTGTAGCACTTTCTGTGCTGGCGAAGAATTATTAATTATTTTTTAGGTTAACTGTGTACGTGCATTCTCAGATGTGTCCACAGTATCGCAAATTACTGTGTATAAAATTGAATTTGCGGTCGTCATTTTGAGAAATAAGTGCATGCAGAATCAGTTGCATAACTAAAATTAGGTTATTAAAAATGCACTTAAACAGCCACGTATTTACTTTTTACGATTTTGTTCCTGCTTGTTTTTTTTTTTCCTTTTCTATACCTTAGTTTGACCGATGACTTGCAGCAGGGCTTTGATGTGTGCTGTTTGCAGGGCCCACACAGCGTCATTGTGAAGCTTTGACAGGGAATGGAAAAGGAGTAGATAAAATGGACCTGGAAATTAATCAAAAACCAGTGGTACTGGCAGCCATCCAGAAATGGCAGACAGGCCTTTCACCAGTCACTCAAAATATCAATAGGCCAGAGCAGCTGGAGCAGTATACAGAGTCTAGGTGTGCAATTCAGTGAAGGCTTCCCAGTTCTAAAGCTGACACTAAATATTGTCATCATTAAAGAGCAGTCGGTGATCCTCTGTAGCTATTTCTAAACTGACGAGTATTAATGGTCAGATTCCCACTATGGGTTTGTTGAGTACAAGCAATGCTCCTTATTGGCCCAACACAGCTGACGAGCTGTTGTTCTTGTTCCTTCCAGTTCCACACAAATCATAAACTCGACTATTAGTGCTGTAACAACCCACCAGCATGTATGACTCACTGGTATGGTATGTTGTACCTCAGTTCAACTAGTACGCTGCCCATCACACTGAAATGGAGTGAAAGCACCACAGAAGTCATTACACCCTGTACTACATGTCACACTAGTAGAGCAGGAGCAGTAACTTTGTCATACTTTATTTTTTCTGTGGACAGATGTCCTTTAAGGAGTTTCAGATGCGTTCCATATACTCCACTTCAGCACACAGCATAACATGTATACTACTTAGGATACTTGCAATAGAATACATTGTGCGCTATACAGATCGGGATGAAGGTGAAGATCTTATAGGGAGAAAAAAGACAAAGTGACACCTTCAGTGTAGAAAACCATTATGAATGTGGATTTATTTTATTAATCGATGAGCACAATTATTGTATGTTTTTAAATATAATTAACACTAATTACTGGATTATACTGTGTTATAATAATATTTCATATAGGAAGATCTATGAGCCTGATGATATGTGCTCAAAAGTTTTCTTCACCTCCAATTATTAAACTGTGAGCTGTATAAATATGGTCATATGGAACCATATATATAAAACTATGTACAGTATAGTGAGAATTTGTAGTATGGCTGTAGACAGGGTCAAAGGTACTCTAAAGCCCCCTTTTTGCTATTCTTGTTACCTCCCAAGTAGGAAAATGACAACACACGTGTGTTAAGAACTTCACGCATGGCCGTTTGCACTCGCAAAACTGACGGTGTGACACGTTTAAACAGCGCAGAGCTTTGCTGTTTTTAATCACGCCGACCGAGTCCAGTAAGAGAAGAAAGAGGATGTTGATGGGAGCAAGGCTTCCAAACAGCTAAGGCTGCTGATACAGCTGGGCATCTTAGAAGACCCAATTACAGCCATAAGATGACTCAGAGCCAGCACAATCCGCTGCAGGCTCCCCTGCGATTATAATATCATTACTCAGTGTCACCTGGCTGCAGGACTGCAGTCTGCACACAAACACGGATGACAGCCCCCTGGATATCTTTACCTTTAAAGATTTACCAGCAGAACGTCTGTGTGGTCAGTGTGCAGCGTTACTGAACGTGAATGCTATGCGGTTGGCATGCTTGTATTCACTCCGATACCGGACGTACCGGACGCACCAGGTACCGCTCGCTTACGTGGAGTGTAGCCGACCTGATTCTGCTCTGAGAGAACGCTGCACTGACGGACTGCAGCTCCTCACCGGGCTGCTCGTGTGAACTAATGATGCGAAAGCAGTAGAGGGTAGGATGTGATGTGGGAGGCGTGCAACAGGGCAAACCGCTCTGCCTTGCCATGCAGGCACACATGGCTAGACAAACCGCAGCTGTTCTCAATGTACGCGACTTTATTACTACGAATTAACAGTGATACGCATTTTTTTTTTTACAAAAAATGTATTGTACCCTAGTCCACATTGAGATCTGCATTTTATTAACCTATTTTTTTATGTTTGCCTACGGAGTGTTAGTAATAATACGTTGAATTCTGGGTCTGCTAGCTGTACATGAGAGCGGTACGGTAAAACTGTGCTGTAATAAGCTTCCAGTTGCAGCCTTTAGCAGTTCAGTTGGCATTAAATATAATTCTTTTTCAGTTTACACACTGTTCGCTTTTAAAGATCATTAATGACTGCAGCCTTTATCACAGGAATGACTCACTGGAGTATTGTGGCAGGGTGTGAAATTTATCGTCGTTTGACTTAGCATGCAATTTCTTTCTGGGAGAGTGTCAGTGTTGTAAGGTTTGTAGTTTTAAGCAGCTAGCTATTTTAAGGACAGAATACGAGATAAAACATTTTTTTTTTAGATTCCCCAGGTACTTGTTTTAGAGTGTTCTGCTTTTGAATTGAGGCAGCGCTCCATGACCTCAGAGCGGTTTACTCAATTAACTACGGTCTTCCTTAAGCTATGACAGCGAAGGCCGCCTAACGAATGTGACTTTTCCAACGGGAGTCGTGACCAGTCTCCATGGGGAAATGGAAAGGGCTATCACTGTGGGCATTGAGACTTCAGGGAGGGATGAGGACGTCAGCATCACCACTAACCTCTCATCCATTGATTCGTTCTACACTCTGGTTCAAGGTAGGGGAGCGTCCTGGCAGTTCAGGAAGAAAATGACAATACGGTTTTGTTTTGTTTTGTTTTAGTAATACCACCAGGACAACGCGCACTAACCCACAGCAATTCATCATTGTGAAGACAAACAGCTTGTGCTACACACAGCTAATGAATGGCTTCTCGGCGCTGTGTTTTGTTTTTTTTCCTGATTGTATAAATAAGAATCCCTTCACTCTGCTTGGAGATCGCCAGCTTATGAACTCCTGGTTCTGCAGCAACTTATTTGTGCCCTCAGAAAGATTAATTGTACAGATTATTCCTTGAAGGAACATCATCGATTCATGTCTTTGTATCTCTTGAGATGTAGAAAATCTGTTGGTGTGGGTTTAGGAGAAACTGGGCAGGTCTCTCCATGCACAGTAAAGGGATAAAAGGTTTTCTGACACCATCCTCACATAAAATAGAAGCCTCACCCAACTGCAGTACTTGACAAAGACGAGCCAAGCATATGATTCTTCATCTGTCTCGAATTCCATATGTTTTCTGTTTGCTGCAAGCTCTGAGAGGAGTGTGGCATACAGAACATCCTGTATGCCACAGCAGAGCCTGTCTGCAGATGAATAGCTCATCAGGTGGGCTCTTTCAAGGAAGTAAATCATTTTTACCAGGAGCCTGTCTGCCCTCCCATATTTTTCATGTGTGGGTCCACGGGCTTAGCCGTGAGCTGAACTTTAAAGACTGACCGTACCCGATTAGGCATAAAAAATAACTGACGATGGAACATTTTAATGTCAAATACAGTTGTGATGTTTGATGATCTGTTTTTGACCCTTTTTTCCTCCTTTTCATGACATTTCTTTCCCCTTCAGACCAGTTAAGAAACAGTTACCAGGTTGGCTTTGACAACTCCCTGAGGGTTCTTTATGCCAATGGCATGGATACCCATTACCAGACGGAGCCTCACATTCTGGCAGGCACTGCCAACCCAACAGTGGCCCGGCGCAACATGACACTGCCTGGGGAGAACGGTCAGAACCTGGTGGAGTGGCGTTTCCGTAAGGAGCAGACCAGAGGCAAGGTCAACGTGTTTGGAAGGAAGCTTCGGGTGAGGGAAATCTCCCTAGAAAAGTTTAATAAAAGTAAATATTACCCAAAATACGAGCACTGCGTACATCCATCCATTCCATGGCTGATTTACCTAGGACGGGGTCGCGGGAGAGCCAGAGCCTATGCCAGCAAGCAACAGTACACTATGTCTTTGGACTGAACCATTCCATCCACGAGGACATGGAGAATATAAAACTCCATGCAGATAGCACCTCAGCAACTGACGGCCCCAATAGAAACCACTGCACCACCATCACCACGCCGCCCACTAGGACTACAGTGTCGTAGAAATCAAGAATGGTCCTGATTGCACGTTTTTGGCTATAGAGCGCCTAAATAGTGGTCTTGTGTAAGCAGTGGCTCTAAATAAGAGGCTGCCAATCTGATCTATCTAGCTCGTTTGGTTGCTGGTAGATAATTGATCGGATTGATGATCAAGGATCGCATCCAGCAGCTCTTAAGAGAAGCCGGTGTGTTGCTTTGATCACATGGCCGGGCAGCTTGTTCCATACTCCTACAACCCCTTTGTGTAAGAGCTTATTGCTCTCCATTTTAAAGGCTCTTCCACATAGTTTCAGCTTGTGTCCTCTGGTTTCTGTTTCTCTGCCGGGTCTGAAGAAGCCTAGTGTCATTGTGTTTGAGGATTCTGGATACCAGAATCAGGGCCTCTTGTATTCTTCTTTGTTCCAGAACTAGGAAGATTCCACAGCAACAATATTTTTTGAATCATGTTGGCCAAAATTGTACACAATATTATGACTGATATCTTACTTGTATCTTGGGGTTTTTTTCTGGATAAAACGAAAAAGAAATTGCCCACAACCCATACTGTACACTTTTCAGAAAACAAGCAAAATATTCTATTTATATCAAACTTAATTTTGTTCGTTGGGTGCATCTTCATTTAGATTCCAAGCATATATGCAGAAAAAACAGGAGGTGCCAAATTCTGATATTCTTAAAAAATAATTATTCTTATTATTCGGTTAGGTAGATTTCTCACAAAGAAAAAATGTAGTAATACATTTTTACAAGTTAGAATAAAACATTTGAATTTCAAGCATTTCCATACTATAGTACATAATTAACTGTACTTTTAAGGTGTGTTGCATGTATTATTTCACAGTTTCATTTATGACTTAAAATCTACCAGTCATTTCTCTCACAAAGAAGCCCAATTCTCATTTTCAAGTGATTTTGAGTTTCAAGTCCACTAAATTCCTCCGAACGCAAGGCTTCCATCAATATCTTGTGTTTTCCCAGCAACACAAACATGCGGGACTGAGGTACTCCCACAGCATTAATAAAGCGACATTGTTTTTTATATATATGAAATAAATTGGACTGGGGTCAGAATATGATTTGCTCTGCTTCCATTTCTAAAGCTTGTCATCTTTAAATGAATGGCTCCTGTAGAGGGAAACTTTGCATGGATACACTCTAATATTTCTTTTTACCGGTTCGGTAAATTCTGAGGGGCTTAATTTAAAAGAGTTTGAACAAATGCCAGAGTGTCTTTCAGTTTAATGAAACCCTTTAAAAAAAGCAGTTAATCTAATGCCTTCCACTTACATCAAGAACTCCCAAAATTAATTTACTGTCAAAGAGAATCAATCACAGTAAATGGTGTTTAAACAATAGCAGGTCATCGAGAAGCAATAAGTGGGTGGCTTTGAGGCTTTTCCGATGGGCTCTGACGAGAGTTTTGTTTGTGTTTTTAAAAAGGTGAATGGCAGGAACCTCCTCTCTGTGGACTATGACCGAACCTCCCAGACAGAGAAGATCTATGATGACCACCGTAAATTTCTGCTGAAGATAATTTATGACTCCTCGGGTCACCCTACTCGTTGGGTGCCTAGCAGCAAGATGATGTCTGTCAACATCACTTACTCGGCCACAGGACAGATCACAAGCATGCAGAGAGGCCCCACGAGTGAGAGGGTGGAATACGACGACCAAGGCAGGCTCGTCTCCCGGGTGTTTGCGGACGGGAAGATATGGAGTTACACGTACCTTGAAAAGGTCAGATGTCTTTATCCTTTAATGTAGCACCAGAACATTAAAGTACAGTCCATGGGTAGAAATACACAACACACAAAAATAGTTATCGTTCTTACAGTTTCCTTGTTTAAAAGCTATGTGAAAGGAGTGGGTATTATTACAGCAGTGTGATTTTACACAAATGAGTGAGATGTTTTGACAAAAGAAGGTGCTTTCGCAATAGATTCCTGGGAATAGATTTTTTCGTCTGCTGAGAGATCGGCGAGCTTGGAAATGTGTCCAGTAGCTGGACTCTTACAGTAAATAGTTGAGAATCCCACAAGGTAGGAGAAGAGCAATAGATTGTTATTCCTTGTGGCCTTGAGATGCAATTTAAGAGGGAAAATTGCTTGTTGTTGTGGATGTTTGTGCACCAAGAGATGGATAACAAGGGTTTCAAACTTACAAAGCAAGAAGTCTGGGCTGAAAAATGAGAACTGCTGGAAAGCAGAAAGCAGCTGACACATCAGATATTTCTATACAGATGTGTATATAATTTATATATACTCCAAAAATGGCAAATTCTCAAGACTGTTTTAACCAGGATGTTTGAAACAATTTGTTACATTTAACTTAATACAGGAATATCTCTAGTTTGGGAATTTAGTAGCTTTAATCACACATAAAGAAAAGTTTGAAAAATATACTAGCATTATAGTGCGAAGAGAGAACATCATGTTATTTTAATATCTTAGCTTGAAGGTTTAAGTCGGCAGTTCCATCTGTGCTGAAAAGTGTTCTTCTAGAATGAATTGGCCTTGTAATTATATGTACCATATTTGCAGAGTTCTTTTAAATTCAATGAATGAACTAAGAAGAATCTGACCAATGAAAAGTAAAGTAAAAAGTGTAGGTGTTACATATGCATAGTTTTCTTAGCACTGCCTGACACAAGTGCAGGTGGCGTGACCAAGAAGAAGGATATCATCTTGGAAACATATGCCATATTGAGAGCCTAGGGAGCTCAAGCAAAGTCCTTCCAAGTATGGATGACAAGGTGACGGATTCTGCCCGGCACTCCGGTCCCCCACCACAGGCACACATACAGTCAGAGATGCATATGGAAATAGTCTGGTGATTTGCGCCTCAGAGGATGAAAAAAATGTTTCTAACAAACCGGGAAAGATGGGTTCTTTTACCAGTAAAATGACACAGCCTCATATGCTATGAATTTAAAGAAGAAGAGTTTAGGGGAGGTGTACCTGCTGGACTGTCTCCTGCATCATCCAGTGTGTTGCTTTCATTTCAAGCGTGATGTATTTGTGTTACCTCCAGGCAACACTGATCAGAAATGCCGAGAGCTCTTTTAATGACAAAGTGAATCAAATTACTTTATCTCTAACCAGCTGCTCGTAAAAAGAGATGTAAAGATCAAGCTGCACCAAAATTAGTGTGATTTTAATTTCCTAACTGTCTTTTTTTCTGACATAAAATTCTTGTGCTTCTTACCAATATGCAAAAGGTTTAATTACCCGCTGTTTTGCTAAGTGAATTTGACATTAAATGGAGCCTACCTTATAACATAAGTAGCAGCGCATTATGAGGCCAGAGCTAATAATTGCAAAACCCTTTAGAATTATGCATCCAAGTACATTAAACAGAGCAGCATTAAAGACTTGTAGGTCAAGGATAACTCAATTAAAAAAGGAAATCATTGCCGAAATGGAATGTTAATACCTGTTGTCACCTAATTTGCATTTTAATACCCATGTGTATAATTATTCTGTCTACTTCCTTTCCAGTCAATGGTGCTGCTGCTCCACAGTCAACGCCAGTACATCTTTGATTATGATTTATTGGATCGTTTGTCTGCCATAACAATGCCGAGCGTGGCCCGTCACACAATGCAGACCATTCGCTCAGTTGGGTATTACCGCAATATTTACAGTCCCCCTGAAAGCAATGCCTCTGTCATTGTGGACTACAGTGAAGATGGGCAGCTGCTGCAAGTGTCACACTTGGGAACAGGCAGGCGAGTCCTGTATAAATACAGAAGACAAAATAAGCTCTCCGAGATCTTGTATGACAGCACGCGTGTCAGCTTCACATATGATGAGACGGCAGGCGTCCTTAAAACTGTGAACCTGCAAAGTGAGGGCTTTATCTGCACCATTAGGTACAGACAGATTGGCCCTTTAATCGATAGACAGATCTTCCGCTTCAGTGAAGGTGGGATGGTAAATGCTCGCTTTGACTACACCTATGACAACAGCTTCCGTGTGACCAGCATGCAGGGCGTGATAAATGAAACGCCTCTGCCCATTGACCTCTACCAATTCGATGACATCTCTGGGAAAGTCGAACAGTTTGGCAAGTTTGGCGTGATCTACTACGACATCAACCAGATCATTTCCACAGCCGTCATGACTTACACCAAGCACTTTGACGACCATGGTCGGATCAAAGAGATCCAGTATGAAATATTCCGCTCTCTGATGTATTGGATAACCATACAATATGACAACATGGGCCGCGTGACCAAGAGAGAGGTCAAAATTGGGCCGTTCGCCAACACTACAAAGTACGGTTACGAGTACGATGTGGATGGGCAACTTCAGACGGTCTACCTGAACGAGAAGATCATGTGGCGGTACAACTACGACCTGAACGGAAATCTGCACCTGCTGAACCCCAGCAGCAGTGCCCGCCTGACTCCTCTGCGCTACGACTTGAGAGACAGGATCACCCGCCTGGGCGACGTTCAGTACCGGCTGGATGAGGACGGTTTCCTGCGGCAGAGGGGGGCTGAAATCTTCGAGTATAACTCCAAGGGCCTCCTCGTCCGCGTGTACAGCAAGGGCAACGGCTGGACGATCCAGTACCGCTACGACGGCCTCGGGAGGAGGGTCTCCACCAGGACGAGCCTGGGGCAGCACCTCCAGTTTTTCTATGCCGACCTCAACTACCCGACCCGGATCACCCACGTTTATAACCACTCCAGCTCGGAGATCACCTCCCTCTACTACGACCTGCAAGGACACCTCTTCGCCATGGAGATCAGCAGTGGAGAGGAGTTCTACATCGCCTGTGACAATACAGGAACGCCCCTGGCCGTTTTCAGCAGCAACGGTCTGATGATTAAGCAAGTCCAGTACACGGCTTATGGAGAAATCTACTTCGATTCCAACCCAGACTTTCAGCTGGTCATAGGATTCCACGGGGGCCTGTATGACCCTCTGACAAAGCTTCTGCACTTCGGGGACCGAGACTACGATATCCTGGCAGGACGCTGGACTACCCCCGACATCACCACCTGGATGAAAGTGGGAAAGGACCCTGCACCATTTAACCTCTACATGTTTCGGAACAACAATCCCGTCAGCAAAGTGCATGACGTCAAAGAGTATATCACAGGTAAGATTTAAGTCGAGACTTTGTTGCAGTTATTAGCACAACATATTTGACATATTTGTTTATATTTATTTCTTAATTGGAACAGAGATCACCATATCCAGGGCTGTTCCTTTGTACAATACATCTGATAAAGCCTTGAGATGTGGATTTGTCACATTAAAAAAAGATTGTTTTTCTTTTTTTATGTCTGGATCTTCATGCTTTAAATCAGCTGGCTTGTCTGCTATATTTAGGAAGTTAAGAATATTAAAACAGTTGCTTTTTTAAGAACAGTGGAATACTGCCATTTCAAATAATCTTCCCTTTTTACTTATCTATGAATGTTATAGTTGTACATTCATAATGCAGTCATATGTAACATTAAACATAAAGTACTAATTTTCAGAGTTTTTTAATATTAAATTATAGCAGATATATTACAGTGTACGGAGAGCTTTATGCAACCCTGCAATTTTGTTTAAATTTTAAGAGCTAAACAAAAAAAAGGAATTTAAATGCAATACATACAGTAAATAGTGAATATACTATACTTGTACTTGTTTCAATGTCATAACAGCTGTATTTACCAATGCTATGTCAAAATGCTTTTATATTAGCAAGGAAGTTTTATAATAAATATGCATTATACCAGTGATTTGTTTTATATGTTTGCGTTAGATTTCCATTGGACTGAAAGTTGTAGAGAAGTCCCATTTTTAGTTGGACTTTTAGTTTAGTTTTTCAGTCAGGTTTTCCTGACAGTGCTGTACTTTTTTCTGTTTCTTTTCTCTTCAAAGATGTCAACAGCTGGCTGGTGACATTTGGATTCCATCTGCACAATGCCATCCCTGGCTTTCCTATTCCCAAATTCGACATGACAGAACCTTCCTTTGAGTTGAAAAAGAGTCAGCTTTGGGATGATTTACCGGTAAGCAGTCAAAAAGGACATCTGTAGAGCTCTACAAACTGTGTTATTTTTCTGGCATAAAACCAAATTATTCATTCACATGCCAGAATGTACTTGATTTGCAGTAATAGGTATTTTTTTATTAGGAATGCCTAGCAGGCACAGGGAAATAAAGGACTTCTTAGGCAATAACTTGCAGTTGAAATATTTGTACATTTGTGTTATTTCAGCCTTTAGATGTTAAAAAAAGCTTCATGTATAATATTTCACAAGTTAAGTATAAAGACAGTGATTAATATTTTGGTGTTAAATGCTAATTTAAAAAATATTTGATGTTTGCCTGCTAAATATAATTCTTAATACTGTGAAGTGGAGATTCACCTTCTTCATAGCTGTCATTGTTAAAAAAAATTAAATGTTCTGCAGATCTAAACTTCAATGGCCCCAAGGTAAACTTTTTTTTAAAGACTTTAAAAAAATATATGCCTTTAAAACCTTTTTACACATTTCTCCCATTCAATAATTCAGAAATCTCCAGATTTTTGTCTACCTTGTATGATAGGATTCAAGGCTAAAGTTATTAATTGAATCAAATCATTGATTTAATGCTGCTGTATTATTTATCGTTTCTGTATGGAATATGGATATCCTTAGCCGTACTACAAATATATTTTTAGAAACGTTAAAGGCTGGCATTATTTAATGCAGACCGCTCGAAGGTAAGACTGTCTGAGGTGTTAGGCGTTGCATCCATAACGTGAGCTCTTCTTTCTTCTGCAGTCTGTTTCCGGAGTTCAGCAAGAAGTCGTGAGACAGGCAAAGGCATTCCTGTCGTTCGGAAAGATGCCGGAGATTCAGTTCAGCAGGCGCCGATCGAGCAGGGAGAAATCGTGGCTCTGGTTTGCAACCCTCAAGTCGCTCATTGGGAAAGGGGTGATGCTGGCCGTCAATCAGGGGCGGGTGGTGACCAAGGCACTGAACATCGCCAACGAGGACTGCATCAAGGTCGCCGACATCCTGAACAACGCCTTCTACCTGGAGAACCTGCACTTCACCATCGAGGGCAGGGACACCCACTACTTCATCAAGACCGGGCTGCCGGAGAGCGACCTGGGCAACCTGCGGCTAACGAGCGGGCGCAAGTCCCTGGAGAACGGCGTCAACGTCACCGTCTCGCAGTCCACCACGGTGGTAAACGGCAGGACTCGCAGGTTCGCGGACGTGGAGATGCAGTACGGCGCCCTGGCGCTGCACGTGCGGTACGGCATGACCCTGGACGAGGAGAAGGCCCGCGTCCTGGAGCAGGCCCGGCAGAGAGCCCTCTCCAGCGCCTGGGCCAGGGAGCAGCAGCGAGTGCGCGACGGCGAGGAGGGGGCGAGACTGTGGACCGAGGGGGAGAAGCGCCAGTTGCTAAGCGCCGGAAAAGTACAAGGTTATGATGGGTACTATGTACTCTCCGTAGAGCAATACCCCGAGTTAGCCGACAGTGCTAACAACATACAGTTCCTAAGACAAAGCGAAATAGGGAAGAGGTAACAAACTGTTCATTACCGGCTGCCAAAGAGACTGCCTGTGGCCATTCCCACTTGGGGAACCGAACTGAAGTGTTGGCACGCGTAGCTACAACAGAGTACATGTAGAAAATAACTACTACTTAGGCCTTAACAAGGCCGTGACACAGATTTGCGTCTGTAGCACAACCTTGATGGACTTCAAACTCTTGTGTAAAAGAAAGAGAGTCAAGGAGAAAAAGAGTGGTGGTTTGTGGAATCAAATTGTTTTTACAAATGACCTTAAAAGGTGATCTGCTTTAAAAATTAAAAAAAAAAAGTTTAAAAAAGAAATGTGTTTACATATGCATATCACTGCACTCGACTGGACTAATATGTATAAAGCCTATTGGTTTTCTTTCTAGGCAATGTCTATAATCAGATGTTTGTTTTCATTCTGAATGGTTGACCTTTGCTTATAAAAAAAAGTAGTTTCGCTCTTAATAAGAACTGATGTGTCTCAGTAACCAGCCAAAACTGGGAAATTCTGCTGTTAATAAATCCAACTGCTTTTACTGTGCCGCTTCCTGAGAGGACATTGTTGCCAGTGACCTGCTACCGGAGATATCAGATTTATTGTTAATTTTTTAATGGTATTGTAGTGCTCCTTGGGAAAGATACAATTAAAGCAAAGAGAAACAACTGACGCAACAAAATCATGTCGTACAAAGCAAAGGAAAACCCAAACTTTTTTGTAAATTATGTGAGACAAGTTCTTTATGGATTTTTTATATGAATTCCAATTAACTGTTCATCGAATATTAGTCTCAGAGGAGGTAATTTATGTAAAGTGTTTATACATAAAAATAAAATCTTAAAAATACTGAGGATTTTTTGGTCATGCGTTGTGGTTTATTCTATTCATACAGTATGTTTGAAATTGTCCATCCTGTTTTAAAATGTAAATGATCCCACAGTCGTATATCAGCGCTGAATATTCATTGCTGATATCTTAGCTGTGTATTCAGCATAAGAGCTTCAAATAGCTTTTTGAAGATGAATGATCTAGGACTTCATACTTAGTTTGAAACAAAATATCTGAACTTTTGTGAACCAGTGGCAACCTTCAACTCTTTAGTATTGATTTTTTTTTTAGTCTTTTGAAAGAAAATAGTCTAGTGGCTTCAGATACTGCACATAATATCAAATATTCAGCCACAGTCTTTTGTAATTTGGTAGAGCTCGCTGATCAGACAATATTAGAACCAAAGGAGAAGCAAATGTTGGAGAGTCCTGTGGGTACTTTGTGTGTCCTCCTTTAACTTCCCAATTTATTTTGAGTTCTTTCTGTTGTGACTGTTAATTTATATGTAAATGATCCTATTACTTGGAAAACGGTCATAATGTGATTGCCAAAACTATGTTAATCTGCACACAACACAAGGAGATTTCTATATGCTATGGCCATGCCCATATAGAGTACTTGAGACAGAAAGTGCACATACTGTACTGTAGGCAAACAACACCGGTTTTGTCTGGAATTCACACCCCTGGTACTGTGGAGGTGTCGTTTAGCATAATCATTTAAAAAGTTAATTTTTTTTTGGTAAATTTAAGTATTTAAAGCAATCCATGTACACATTCAGCTAACAACAGTTCATTAAACAGACTAGGGCTGTGGTGTGTTAAAATAACATGAAAGGGAACCAAATTTTTCTGTGCTTCTTTGAAGTTTTCCATGTGAAGCACTCTGGATTAAACAGAATTTTAGACTTAACCCAGATAACTATTCTGTCTAATGTGCACAAGTTGCCAGGCAGAAGAAAAGGCTATCAGCAAACAGTGATGTGTTTTCATTATGACGTTGACTAGTTTTTGGCTATGTACTGTACAGTTTCACTCAATTTATTTTTTATATGGGATATAGATTATATGTCCAAGCTATACATATATAACATATATAGGTAGTAAATTATATTTATGTATACATATTAAATCCTAGCACCTTATATAAGAACAAACAAGATTATAAATTGCCTTTATCTTCGATTCTCAGCCTCCAGTGCTTGAACTACAATTATAGTTAAACATTTTAACGTCCACAGAAAAGACGACAAAGCAAAGTGTTTATAATGAACTAGAATGTAATATTTATAGTTTTATGGTTTATTTATTCGCTGACTCTTTCTGTTTGAAAGACTGTATTTAGGTTAATTGTAACAATTTGCCAAATGTTCTGTACTTTTTGTGGTCTAGATCTGCCTTTGGGATATGCTTATTCTCTTCTGAGAAAGACATATCTTCTGTAACCCAATTTATGGCTTCATTATTCCTTGTTTATACAGTACACCCACATTTGGTACTGAACTAAAGAAATCCCCTTTAGATGGTCACTCTGCTGTTGGTTCCAGTCACAAGCTGTAGGTCTGTCTGCTAGCAAATGTTTAACTGGCTAATTTAATATAATATTTAATATTACTATTAAAAAAATAATTAATATTAATCAATTTCCTTACGGGATTAATAAAGTATTATCTATCTATACGGCAAATGTATAAAGTGTAAACATTTTGAAAGTTTGTATTGTGCTTCCTATAACTAATACTTCAAACCCTGATAAGTATATTATAGACACAGCGGATTCCAAAATATGCAGTATCAAAAGCATTTTAGTCTGGTTATCAATATAACTTTAACTAATGGTTCCTTTGTGGATTTACCAGTAAAGCTGATCATGTGAAGCCAGGGTTAGCTCTACATTTCAAATACCACCTGGTTTGATTGTTTGCTACATTAGGCCCCCACCCCTAAGTCAAGTATGCCCTGTAGTGGCGACCCCTGTGACTTATTGTGAACCGAAGTGGTTGGGATTTTTGCCGGCAAGAGCTGCATCAGTCGTCTATTATTGCTGACTGAGCTGTGGGAGATCTTGGACTCAACTCTCATCCTTCAGAGCTCCGAGGTTTGTAGTGGCGAAACGGAATTAATCACTGTCTTTGCCAAACCCATGGAGGGAGTCTGGGAGGGCCGAGACATATTTATTACCAATTTAAAGTTTAAAGAAAGAAAATAAATCTGTGTTGGTTATTTCCTGCTCCTCTGTGACCAGTAATTTTTTTCTTGTTAGGTTGACAAACCTGGGATATAAGGGGTTTGAGACACGAATCACAATTTCAAATGTTATACAAGGGCAAGTGGAAAGGAACCATTACTTTAAGGGTGCGTTAAACTTAATTGTGTGGGTTTTAATATGTAAAACTGTGTTTAATTTTTTCCCCCAATTAAAACAAAGTTCATCTTTCTTCTTTTAATATTTTAAGTACCAGGCATTTTAAAAATAGTTTTGCAGGAGAAGCAGGTATTTGTACTGTATTTGTGCAAGTAGAGGATGATT